GGACCTTTATGTTTGTTTCTTTGTGTGTGTGTATGTGTGTGTGTTTCGTTGCCATTTATGTACATGAATGTCATATACATAATGCACGTAATTAATAATGTAGAATGTTTCGCATATATTGCATAATAAACGCATTTTTGTGTGTATATATTTATAGTTGCATATATCGCGTATATATATTCGATTAGTTTGTCTTGATGCAATTAAATATATAATTAATGTTTGCTTGTGTGTGTTACTGTCCTGTGTGTCTGTGTGTGTGTGGGTGTTTGTTGTATTTCTAGGTACAGAATTCATTAATTTTTTTACTGGCTTACTAAGGTGCTGTGTTGTTTTCTAATCGTAAGCTTAAATTTATGTTCGCTTTTTTATTAATAATATTTGCTTGCAACACTACATTTCTACAATTCTACAGTTGTGTCCTTTGTGTCGGTGTCGTGTTTGTATGTGTGAGTGCTCTAAATACAAGTTAAAATGATTTCATCTCTACGCAGTAACTCTTTTTTTTAAACTATTTCTGTATGCGTTGTGTGTGTGGGTAATGTGTGTGTAATGTATAATCGACCAAAATAGGTTTGTATATCTATCGCAACAATATGCACCTATGCAAAAACATAAGATGAGTTCTCATTAGTTTCCTTGGTTTTCTTGGTTTTCGTTGTATAAAGTACATCAATTGGTCTCGTCAAGCAGCACAAAAGTTGCGATAACAATATGCAAAAAACAACTCTACCTGTTAATATATCTGTATATCGATAACTAATAATCGTTATAATCGTTTCATCAATTCATCGTTTGCCAGCTAAATCCAAAAATCCCTACGGCTCGTTAATTATACTTTATTGCTTATTTTTTTGTTTGCGCCTTTGCAGATTTTCTCTTCGCTTTTTTCTCATTTTGGTTTGTTATTCCCGTGTAAACTAAGTTGTTTATATTCTTTATTCAGCTATATATATATATATAGTGTATAGTGCCATAAATGTTCGGGGTTTCGCCGTACTTATCGCAATAATATAACGAATTCCAAATATTTACTCATAGATACATGCGATTTAATACTTTTTAGTTACCTTAATGCTCTATTGCTTTCGTTTTGCGTTCTCAAGTTTTTGTTGCATTTGTTAATTGCTTTTGCTTTCGATTCACTATGATTATACCATATACAATACAATAGCTGTAAATAAGTATAGCTTTTTCTCCATTATAATATATATTCAAAGTGTTAAGTCTTTCATTTTTTGTTCTTGCTTGCTTATTAGTTGTCAGCTATATACTATATAAATAATTTTCATGACTTTATTAGTTATGTTCAATTCTTGAATTATTAGTGTTAACGTGCCAAGTCTTTCATATTTTTTGCTCAATTATTTATACATGTGGGGGTGGTGTGGTGGTGTTTTTGTGATTTTGATTTGGTAAATAAATAAATCACGCTCAATGCAAACTATGCAAATTAAATTTTTTCGAATTAAATGCGTGCAAGGACACCCCCTTTCATTTTTTTGAGCAGTTTCCGCGGGGTCGGTGTGCCTCCCCCTTTATATTCGCCTGCTTTTTTATTACATTTCCCTTTGTTCGCATTCGCCTAACGAGCGCTCGTTAAACTGCATTGACACAAAAAGGACAACACAACATTGTGTTGCCATGGGTGTGTTTTCCGAGGGGGTGGTGTCAGCAACAGATAATGGAAACAATGGATCATGAACCTAATGCTACAAATACTGAATTCAACAATTGCATTTCGCGTTGCGCTAGTTCCGTTTATGCGTCTGTACAGGGTTTATTTATGAGTGAGTGGTCCTACTACGCTACTAATGTATCAACTTTAACAATTTCCTTGGTTTAACAATACGTCATGATCTGGGCTCTCTTTGTATGTGCGTGATTGGAACAACTGAAAAGTTTATTTTGGACTAAAGCTTTTCCAAATATTTATGCCTGGGGGCTATAAGTAGTAGTGAGTTCTCCTCTATTACAAATTTTAAAATAGGCACCCCTTATATTCTATCTTTACCACTACGTTTTATTGCTTTTCGATACACGTTATTTCTATTAAAAGTTTCTGGAGCTCAATTTGATTTCTCGTTTACTCTTTTCCCTTTGAGCAAAATTAATGAATAGTTCTGAAAATTGTTAGTGTGTATTTGGACTATCACAATATTCGAATTGCTTTGGGTTCTTCTTTTTGTTATTCATCAAAAATTACTCAGCAACACAAGCCAGTTGAAATAATAAAAACTCCAAATTAGTTTACAAATAAAAAACATTGTTTTGCTTGTAAAATGTGTGGTTATTTAATATGTATTGTATATTTGTAACTTTATAATTGCTTCTCTCGTTTTCTTGTTTGTTTGCTTTTTTGGTTTTTACAAGTGTGCTTCGATTGCTAATTGTAAGTAGTTCCAACCTTACAGTATTCTTTAAGACTAATAAATCGATTAACTTGTAAGTTAAGTTAAGTTATTGCTTTACTTTCCATCGCCATCGCCTTCTATACAATTGTTATACAAAATTTTTAAAATTTAATATTATTGCCGGGCTTCAATTCAATTCAACATTTTCATAATGCAAATTTTATAAATATTCATTACATTTTTCTCGCTTCGATAAATCATAAACGATACATAAATAATAGTTGACTATATTCTAGATAACGCTATATATTATATATAATTAATTGTAGTTGTAATTGAAATAATTTTAATTGTAATTTGTCTTGCGGTTTGCAGGGGTTTTATTTTTGTTTGAGTATTTGCTTTGGTACTTTAGCCGATTTAGTCGATTCCGATTGCGATTTCGTGTCGTTATTCGATTATTCGATTAATATTATTCCTTAAAAGTATTGCCATCTCTCTCGTCCGACGCTCCCTCCTCCGAACAACAGTATAAAAATAATTTCGTGATTATACTTACTAGTTTAACTTACGAGTACATGTCTGAAGACTTACCCTAGCTTTAATATATGCTTTGTAAATATTACGCAACTATATACGTATTCTAGATGTATATATATTCTATAATCCCCGATTACCCGCTTAGAAATACCAACAACTTTGGTTTTGGTTTTTGGGTCATCTAAACTTGGCTACGACTAGGGCTACAAAATGTTCGTTGCACTTCTTTCCCCTCATCCTCTTTGAGATCGGTTGCTGAAGCTGATTTCAGTTGATGATTATAATGCTGATGTATATGCTATATCCTAATATTTACACGTTTGTGCAGCGATTGAGAGTTTGTGTGTGAGCTTGTGTTTTGTGTGAGTATGAAGATGAATAAGTAAATGATTGGATGAATGAATATGAGTTACAGTTACATAATATAGGGCTAAGTAATATCGTACTAGGTCGGTTAAGTGTCGAAAGGTGCAAAGTATTATTCACGCATGGACGAAGTGTACTGTTAAATGCTTGAGACTAGATCACACTCGATATTTTCGGTTCTGCGATGGAGGGGGTTCTCTCTATGCGATCGAATACTTGGATTTCTTTGGTCTTATTCGCTGACTATACTCCCAAATTGGGCCTTGAACGGAATGCAATGTTTGGGAATGACTTCGGTATTAAATAAGTGAGTTTGCTGTTAAACAGCGACTAGATGTTCACTTCTAAAGACTAAAATAAATAATTATAGGGTGCTACACTTGACTGGGTAGTAGGACTAATTGACTGATAAAAAAGCGCCAAAAAATAAAACGGGATTCGAACCGCCCTCTGTGATTTCTGCGATGCTCATCTAGCCTTAAATGAATTCGGAGTGAACTAATGGGGGGACTTGACCTATATAAACGTGATTTTGTGATGCTTTCTACAAGGATTAATATGGGGCTTACACAACCAGTTCTCGGGGAGTTTAACTTGGTCCTTGTTGTTTTCGTTTCGTTTCGTTTTGGTTTGTTAACATTCGATCGTGAACCGCTCCCACTTGAACCGGTTCGCAACACCCGACTAAATATTGCTTTGCGTTTCGTTTTTTGTTGCTTGCTTTTTGATTAATTTGTATCGTTGTCTTTTTATATATCGAATCTAAAAATTGTTGAGTGCTTAAATGTCGCATTGGTGTGACTTAGTTTAAAATTGCTTAGCACAATGGCTAGCACTCGTAATTACTGCTTATAGATAGGCTGCCCTTAAGTCCTAATTCGTTGTTTGAGAAACATTGCATTTGCTTTTGTATTCGTTGCATTAATTTTAATCACTTCGTCGTCGTCGTCAACGTTGTCGATTAAAGAGATAGAGATAGAGAGTAGGTAGATATTGTTCGAGTAAGAGTTTAGAGTTAGCTAGAGGAGAGTGTTCTTCGAGAGTTAGTTGGAGAGAGTGGGTAGATTAAAACGTTCGTTTGGTTTAGCTACAGGTTATAGTACACTCTATATATGCATTTAAAGATATTACTCTTATGTGTGTGTTTTTGCTTTCGTTTTCTTTTGGTAGGTAGTTAGATAGATATAAGATAGCTGCTAGAATTGCTTAGATTTCTTCAGGTTTTCGGAATGCATGTGGCTTTAGCACCTCATACACAAGGCTCTCTGTGTGTGTTTAGGGGTGTGTTTTTTTCATTTTTTTTTTTTTGTTTTGGAATGTGTGTTTGGGTTTTAGGAATGTTCAACTCACGTAAGTTTAAAAGAAGAACCATTTTGAGTTGGTTAACACGGGGGCGATCCCGAGATCCCTCTTTGTATTTGAACAATTCCTTTGCGAACTTTTGGAGGCACCTTTAAAAAAAAGGAGTATTCAAATCGCCAAAGAGATTTCGGGACCAATCCCATTGAGTATTTTGTTGCTTGGCTGCCTAATGCGAATTTCTACAGTCTCTGTGTTACTCTACTACACTTTGCTCTTGGACGTATTGTGATGTATGTATCTTCTATAAAAACGGCTATCGTTTAACCTAGTTGTAAATGGTAACGGTAACTTTAACATTAACGGTAAATTAACTAACCAGCTATACAGTTACAGCACATCCATCCTCTTGTTTGTGCTCGGGAGTGCAATAGGTATCTCTAAATGTTTCGGATCTCTTTGTGGTCCTTCGAGCCGGATCTTGTGTATGCTTTTAAAGAGAGATTTCGATTGCACCCCCATATATGTTATATGCTTACATGGCATAAGTGGCTCCTGCACTGCCCTCGATTTTCACCCGCTCAAGGAATTCGTGTGGCGGAGATGAGGCCATACTTGCCCCACTCTCACTGTTGCTATCGTGCATCGACAGCGACATGGACATCATCAGCTCCTCTTCGTCCTTCAGGCATGCCGATTCCAAGTGCTTGTTGAGGTATGACTTCAGGGCGAAGGTTTTGTGACACCGCTTGCACTCGAAGTTCTTGTCCACCGAATGGGTTTGCATGTGAGCCCGAAGATTGGAACGATCTGCAAAGGCCTTGCCGCAGTGCGCACATCCGTAGGGCTTCTCGCCGGTGTGGGATCTGAGGTGCCCTTGGAGCAACCAGGGTCTTGAGAACAGCTTGCCGCAGACGCCACAACTGTGGGACAGCTTGTGGGTGAGGACATGCATGGCCAATGCGGGCATGGAGACATAGGCCTTGCCACAGGTGTGACACTTCTTGGCCGATTGCGAGTCCAATGAGCGATGCGTTTGCTTGTGACGTGACAGGTTCGAAGAGGTGGCATACTGCTTGCCACACTCGGAGCAGGTGTACTTGGTTTTTTGCTGGTCTGGCGAGGGCACTACTGCCGAGGCAGGATCTGCCACATGCTTGCGCTTTGAACGACCATCGCTGACGAAGAAGGCCTCGTAGGTGTAGGCCACCGTTTTGGCCGATGCTCCGGAGGCGCCACCATGTTCCCCATCCATCGCACACTCGCCATCCTGATTTGTGTTCGTCGTATTGCTGTTCTCGTTCTGCACCTGACTGCTGCTGCTGCTCGAATTGCTGCTGGGACTGCTGGGCATGTGATTGCTGCTGGAACTCGAGGCATTGCTGGCGGGGCGTTGCTCATTTACCACGCTGGCCGCTGCAGCCAGTTCGGCAATCGATGATGTGCTTCGCAGATGCGCATGCGCCTCCAGAGTTGGCAAGTGGGTGTGGTGTGCCTGCTGTTGCTGTTGCTGCTGCTGCGGCTGTTGCTGCTGCAGTGGCAAATAATGATGGTGTTGCTGCGGGGCAAGGTGTTGCTGCTGTTGCAGTTGGTGTGGCTGCGTGGGCGGGTGGAAGGCTGTGCTGGCACTCAAATCCAGAATGGCATGGGCTGCATGCAGGTCCTCCTCCGCCGGAATCCTTTGCCGATAGCCATGCGCCGGCTTGTCATCCAGGGAGTACGGCCTGTAGATGTCCTTCTTCTTTGGCGGCAGGGATAGTGTGGCACCCGTGCTGCTAAAACACTTCCTTTCGCTGGAGGTCTGACCACTCGAGAGCGGACTGTAACGATCGCCGGCCCCACTGGGCGAGCACGAGGGTGACGAGGTGGTGGACGAGGGCGGCGTTTGGTAGGCGGCCAAGTGCTGATCTCCATTTCCCCCATTTCCGTTTACGGATGAGGCGGACGCGGCTGCCACCAGAGCTGTGGCCGCCGCACGGATCACGGTTATCCCGCTCTCCATGCGGGGCAGGTACGCGGTGTAGTGCAGCGGCGACAGTTCGCGGGTATAACCTGTAATTGATACGAAAAAGAGGAAAATAATGGGTCAAACTCATTTATAAAAGTCTTTTGATATACAAAACGCCTGAGGGCTAAAGCCCAACACCAAAATTCAAACATTCCCAAAAACATATATTTAGATAGCATTTAATTTATTAAAAAAAAAAAAACATTTAGGAATATTGTCCCTTTAAAAATATAAAGTCTAACAGCCAGAACCCAACGACAATTTTTCCCATAAAACTTAGAATTTTACAGCATTTCATTACTTCCAAAAACATTATTGTTGTGCAGTACCCTTAACTTTTTTTAGTTATATATAAGCCTACTAAGCATTTTCTTTATCCTAATGCCAAATCCAATTCCTACTTTCTTTGGAAAAGAAATTATTTTTAAGCAGTATTCTTAAAGTATGCTAACATTTTTTAATATAAGTCGGGGGAAAGCCAAAATAATTATACCCATTTATTTTATTTACTGAGATGTATTTTAAGCCTAATAAACACTTTTTCATAAGTGTACGACTTAGATTATACATTTCAAAAATTAATACAAACTTTAGTTATAGAAAGTGGGAAAGAGTTTACCAAAAACATAAAACTTAATGCGTAGCTTTCAATCCTGTGAAAACTTCTGTTTTCTTTTATAAGCTGTGAAAACACTAATCATTTGTTCTTCTTAAATCTCTTTTTTTTGAGAAGTTTAAACAATAGCACATTTTGTAAACTGAGAAGCAGCCATATAGTTCCATTTTATGGTTCCTTTGCGCTTAATTTCTATAGTCCAAGGAAAGCGAGGCACACTTTGAAAGGTCAACTTAAATATCATAAGAGTTATGCTAAGATGAGTATTTTGTAAGTGATAAAAATAAATAAACTTTTTTAAAGAAATGAAATTTCCATATGAACTTTGTTTTGCAATTAAAGCATTCTTTACTTAACAAAGTTATTTTGAAGTTAAAAACATAGGATAGTTAAAATTTCAAAACATGAACTAAAATCGTTTGAGGCTAGTAAGTAAACACTTAAAACCCATGCCAACGTCTTCATTAATGAATACCAAGAAGGGAAGACTATTTTGACTCCATGTCTAGTTTCTAATTTCAACTGAATAATTAATTTTCCAATTGTACATGGTAAAAAGCTCTGACAGGCACATATTCTAACAATACCAAGGACCCGGGCAAACGGTTTAATTTTGCTATTTGCCATTGTTTTCACGCTGCAGAGGGGAAGCCACTGAGTTGGCAGTTGGCGAATGGGTCGGCGGCCCTCTGGCCGGAATCGCAAACAATATTGAGTGACAACAAAGGCAATTAAATTGATTCGGAATTGTTTCGCAATCGCACAATGGCCACATCAATGACAGCGATTACGTGCGCCCCCTTTTCGACGTTTTTCCGACTACCCGACAACCCGACTACCCGTTTTTCCGACTTTCCCGGGGGCGAACTTACCGTTGTAAACATTGCCGGCCACTCGAGTTGCCGCCTCCGGGGAATGAGGTGGCGGACTTGGAGCCGTAGTGCCCGCCGTGGGTGAACTGGGTCCCCAGCACTTGGACGTCGTCGACGTCGTCGACGTCGTCGTCGTCGTCGTCGTCGTTGTCGATGCCTCAATGTTGCTGCCACTGTGCGATGTTGCTGCTTCAATAGAAGTTGCTGCTGCTGCTGTTGCTGTTGTGCGTTGCTTTTCCAGCTTGATCAGGAACTTGTCGCCCACCACATCGATCTCCTCATCCTCATCCAAAGTGGAGCGTCTGGACTTGAGATGCAGTTCCTCCAGATCTCTAGAGGATGTCTGTTGCTGTTGCTGCTGCTGCTGGTTGTTGTTTGCATTGTCCTCCGTGCGATCCAGCCAGGGATAGGCCTTCCACTTTTTGGCTATCAGGCAGCGCGGCATTTTACTGGGCTTGAGTTGAGTTGAGGTTAAAGTTTTTAGTTGTTTGGCTAGGAGCTGAGGAGCTTAGGATCCAGTTAGATCTTAAAGGGCTAAGTGCTGAAGCTAGTATCGAGTTTCGAGCGAGCAAAGACCGTCTCAGGGGGTATTATTTGTGGCAAAAGCGGAAAGGAAACGTTGCTGTTGTTATCTCGCATGTGAAAATATATATTTACATATATATATTTGTTGTATATAAAGTTTGGCTCGCCGAAAGATCTGTTAAAGTTTTAGACGTACAGCTTGTGGGGACTTCTCAGGCCTGGCATTTCAGCTCTTCCTGATTTCTCTCCGTGTGTGTGAGTGAGTGTGTTTTTGTGTCGGTTAAATATTCTTTGTAATTTGCATTTTATTGTAAATTGGTTTTAATTTGCAGTTAGGATTCCTCGGGTTTCACAGCCACTTCACACATTTCGGCGCTTGATTCGTTGTTGTCAGACCCGTATCCGTCATTTGGGCTGGAGTTTCGTCTTTTTTTCGTTACGTTTCGTTTCGTTTCTTTCTTTTTTGGGCCGGAGTTTTTGCGTTTTTGGCCAGGGCCACCGATTTTTGGTCAGTTCCCCCCGTTTTCTCCCCAAAAACCTCCACGGAACACACACGGGCACGTTCGCGTTCAGTTGGCTGGCTGCGTGTGGCTTATCGATTTTTACATTTGCGTTTACGTTTACGTTTGTTTTTAACACGAAATTTGGACTCAAAACATAACGGGGGGGTATCCTTTCTTTCTTGTTTTTTTGTTTTTCGGCTGGCAATTTTCTCCTCGGTTTTTGGAAACAAAACTTGTTCGATGGGCGAGTCAAAATTAAATATTTTGTTTGGAGTTTCAGTTTAACAAAACGGAAAGTTGACAGAATTTTTAGTGGAGGAGTTGTAGTGTTTTTTTTTGTTAAGAAAGTTAAGTTAAGGTTGACGCGAGTTGAGAATAGTTGAGTTGTTATTATTGTTGTTGTTGGTAGTGAAAAAATTGATTTAGGAGAAAATATAATATTATATAAGATAGAGAAGAAATGCGAACGAACCGAACGTAAGCAACTCTTGAATGCTTATGAGAGTGTAGCGGTCCGAAAGTCTGCTTATAAGGGTGTCCACCCCCTAAAGCAGCCGAACAGCCCTTCGTATCCTAAGCCGAAGTGAAACGAGGGGAAGAGCGAGAGAGTGCAAGAGATAAAAGAGCGGAACGCCTGAGAGCGGCACAGCCCCTAAATTCCAACCCCCAGAAAGGAAGCATAGCTGTTGCTATTGCTGTTGCTTGTCCTAAGGGATTATGCAGACTTTTAAATATTTTAAAAATTTACTAAAATATGAAAACATAAAAGAAAAGCTTTAAAAAAATGTTAATACAAATAAAGGGTGGCTTAAAAGATAAGTATTTCCCATTAAACACCTTTAAATTACGAGTTTTTGTAAATTTTTTAACAAAATCGTTTGGTGTAGAGCCTCCTTAGAGATGAGGCAACAATCAGGAAGTGTTTCATTGCCAAAACATTCCCCGCTGTTGCTTTCTCCCAATTTTTAAAATTGTTGCGCCTCTCTCTTTCCAATTCTCCCATTTCTCCCGCTCTGTCTCTTTCTTTCGGGGGAACCAGCTATACTACCATACCATACCATACCTGAGAATTGGCTCATGGCTCTTTGGCCCTTTTGGAACTTTTTCAGCTCGGGGCTCGCGGCTCTTGGCCGCTTCAGGCTCCCATATTGACGGGGTGGATTTTTCGCCCAGAATGTGGCAGTTGTGCTGAGTTAATTGCTGTTGCATTGCATTTGTTGCTCGGCTCTGATTTTGAACAAATTGCCAGCGACGCGCTTGGCACAAGAGGGGGTGTTCTTTCATATATATATATACAAAGTACTAGAGGGTGAGGGGATGCAACAGTCGCTGGTCCTTGGCTCTAACTCAGTTAGTACAAGATAAACAGCACAAACTAACTTCTGTCGCCCTCACTCCACGGCCAGCCATCCACTGGCCATGAATAAGTGGTTTACTTTCCACATCCAGATCTCAGAGGTCGGATATGAGTGCGGCAACTCAAATCGTTGGATGATTAATTGCAGCTCCTGCCGAGTTGGTTTTGATTGACAGCTGGATGTGTCATATGCCACACTCCCAGGATAAAATGAACTCGATTTTGGGGCGGATAACTAGGGTTTTTGATGCTCACAAAAGGGTCTTGTGATGTTCAAAGTTGAACCAAATATTTGTAAATATCTTTTATTTGGTAGCGCTTCGTGTTCGATATAAGTATATATAAGCTTTCAGGACTCGTAGCCCAATTTAAAACTTACAAATATGGATAAAATTGACAAAAAGTACCAATAAGAATTTAATTTAAGAAAAATATATTTGTAAAAAAGGAAACAAAATTTAAAGCATTTGTTACAATAAAAAAATTAAACTACATACACTTTTAAAATACAGCTTTTTTATTGAAATACAGCTTTAATATACAATTTTAAAATGAATTTCGATACTCTACATACAGATTAACAAAATTATCAGAAATTTAAAATTGCTAGGCTAAGAAAAGCTCAACGGGTTCTTTTAAAATCTATTACTTGCTGTATTATCCCTTCAAAATCTTGAACAAACTTATACATACAATCTGTTTTCAGTCAGTTCAACACACACAAAACTAATTAATTAAAGTGGAGCTTCGGTTTGCTGAACGGGGAGCTGGAGCTTTGCATAATCAGACACTTAAATTACAAAGTTCTTAACCTTTTAATTAGCCGGCGACAACAGACAATTTGTCTGCCTCAGACGAGCTTAGCGTCGCTTCTGCAGCCGTTGCAGTCGCAGTCCTTTAAAAATTATATTTTTCATTGGAAATTTCATTCGGTTTACTATGGTATCCCCGAGAGGTCCTTTGTTCAACCCATTTCCTGCTCCCCAAGCCATCAAAAACTCCAAAACAGATGTAACCTCTCCTTCTATGGTTTCCTTGTTTAAACTATTTGGAATTTTTTGAGGAAAACCAAAAAGTGCCCACCGATCTATCTGTCCATCCATCCCGCGAAGTGACAGGCCATAGGCCATAAGGACCAGCGATATGTAAATATGAATGCTAAAGTAACGTATAGACCATCTGTGGAATTCGGCTGCACTAATTATAAAAAAAAATTGGGCTCACCCTACGCCAGGCACCTCAATGGAAGCCCTACATATGCCCCGTTCAACCCCACCCAGTTTGCACTGGGAGAAATGTATTGTAATTTAGTTTTGATAGTTTATGTAAATATAGCTAGCTTATGTTAACAATTAAGTATTCTTCAGAAACAATTCAAATTAACCATTTAGTAAACATAAGAAAGTTTATACAAATTTTTAACGATATTAGTTTTTCTTGATTCTTTGTATAAGTCAATATTGTATAGTAAAAAGTATAATTTTATATTTTTAAGGGAAAATCAAAACTTTGTTGAGATTTTTATTCTCTTCAACGCTGTTACTATTGTTATAGAAACTTTTTTCTTGACTTTGATTTTTAAATTATTTTATATAAGGTAAGGCAAATGTGTTGCCATATGGATATGTTTTATTTCCCAATTGTACTTGAAAAGTCTTTAAGAATTTTAGTCGTTATTTTTTCTCTGTGTATGTCCTGTCTTGAGGTGGTGACAAAACCACTCGCCTGGCACACGGCTACGTGCAAATGGTAATCTGCTTTTCCAGCCAACACACTTGAAGGCGATTCCGAACAAGATGCGCTTTATGCGGCCCACGACGAAATTGTTGCGCTTCGTTAGCTACGCCCTCCGCCTCCTCCAAGAATTTAGGACCACTACACTATATAGGACCTCGATCCCTAGATCGCCGCTGGCCACGCGCTCACTCCCGCCCCTTGAAGTATTTCAATTCCAACCTCGATCCGGAAGGGAACTGCAGATGGTGAGGCACTGAGGCGATTCAAGCTCTACAGCATATGGCTTTCCCAGTTTGGCTAGCGAATCGGAACTTGGGCCACGCGTCACGATAGGAAAATGCAGTTGAATAGTCTGGCTTGCAGAGGAAAAGCGGCTTCAGCGGCTACCAAAATTATGCAGCCGGCGGAAAAGGACGAATGGACTAAGGACTGGGCGGAATGGGGCGCGCTCACCTGGAACAAGGACAATATGGTTAATGCAGCGACAGCCTTTCCTGTTTCGTGTTTTACGAGCAGTGTGGTGTGTGTGCTAAGTTTGCAGCTATTAGTTTTTGTTTATTTCATGTTTTTATACCCTGCGAGGGAGTATTTCAAATGGGTTTAAAGGCTTGCCAGCGGTGGTGTTTCTGACACATTTTCGGTTAGTATACATATATGGTCTTTAAGGCCAAGTACTTGATCGGTTATGTCCGCTTTTGCTGGTGTACTTTTGACTATAATTATATCTAAATGACATTTTTGATTGTCCAGGTCAAAGGAGATAATTAGCTTGATAACGATAACGAAAAAAATTTTTCATAGTTGCATACAACACATTTTTATTGCACAAATTACCAGTAGCATAAAAATTATGGAGAGGTTTTAATCCCTTTTAAAATACAACGTCCAATCTTTAAAAGAAAAGGTGTTTAAATATTCTATAGTACATTTTTTTGCATATTAAAACATCTTTTAATATTTCTTATAAAGCTTAATATTAATATAAGTCTAGTCTGTAAACAAAAAGGATCTATTTAGGCATCAAACATTAAGTTTAACAATATGCTTACATTTTTGCATGTCAGGGTATTTTAGGAGCTCGCAAAACTCTTTATAATTTATTAATTAATGAAGACTGTATTCTGTATTTTTTAGTTAGCCCATGTAAAATTATTACAAACATAAGGGCACAAATCTAGAAGGGTATTGCGTTGGTCAACCCATTAGTTTTTGTAAAATTTGTTAGTTTATTTAGGTTTAAGTGGGGGTGTACAAAAGTACGAAAGGTGCACCGCAGCCCAGTTGCGGGGATTCAGTTGAGCGCTTTTGGGAGCGTGCAAAAAGCAGCAGGAGTTTCATGAGTTTCAGGACCTGCCAGGACCAACAGGAAATGCTCTACAAGTGCTGCAGCTGGCCCAGCTGTTTTGGGTGTTTCCCCTTTATTTTATTTCGTTGGCTGTTGGGTGGGTATAACGCCCAACTCTTGGCCCAATCTAAAATGCACACCCCACTGGCTGCAGTCGCCATTCGGCTTGTCAGCTTGCCAAGGGCTATTTGGCGTTGCCTAGCGAGTTGCCCCGAAACTTCGGCTATAACCGACTGCCGCAACCCTGAACTTATATCCCCGCTATATGGACAGTCCTCTATACAGCTGTGGTTGAAATAACAGTATTTAGACACTAAACTATTTTTTTTCTTTAAATTTATCATGAGAACTACTTAACAATTTACAAAATGAATTTGAAAAAAAATAAGAAAATTAAAACGTTTAATATCTTTAAATTCACTTTTTGATATAATGCGTGGTACAACCTTTAAAGTTAACAACCATTAAACCTCTCTTGTCTTTACTTTGCTTTGGAATAAAAAAGGTTTTAAAGTTTTTTTTTATATTAAAAAATATTTTACCTTTGTTAAATGCTAAATTTTATATTTGCCCTATTTAGTTTATAGTATAAGCATCACAAAAACAAAAAAAAAGTTTTTTATAACAGTTTTTTATAAACAGTTTAATCAATTTTATATTATTTTATAATTATTTTAGCTTTTTTTAATTGAAAACTTATATATATGCCCCATTTTGTTTATAGTAAATACGAAAATATAAAAAAGTGAATTAAAATTGCTCTTAAACTTTTTTCCATAAATATTTTCGTAAGCTAAAAAAAATACATGTTTTTTGACCGCAGCTGTAAATCCCCTCTATATGGCCGGTCCGCTATATATACCTCTCCCTCACTCGCTTGAAGTGTGACGCTCGCGTGGCACGGAAGTGACGGCGGCAGCTGTAGCCGAAACTATAACCAGAAACTGTTGATCCTTTCCTCCTTCCTCCCCTCTACTCTACTCAACTCCTGCTTTAAAACTGGGCAAGGGGCATGGGCATGGGCATTGGCATGGGCACCCAGAGCAAGCCGAAGGG